TTCACTGTTGACTGTGCAGCTGCACAGATGAATAACCTGAAGGGGAATTTCTTCAGTGCAACATTGTCTTGTGTCTTTTCCAAGTATGCCAGGCGTTTAGGAGGAAGGTAATTTTCATTCTCATCAGTGAACACAACCAAAACAGTTTCCTAGATCAATATGTCAAAAAGTGGTTGTATGGAATGACGCACAAGAGCAGTTATGACAGGTAAGTTAACAATTAACAATGCATTGCGAAAGATTTTAAAGTTATCTAAACCTCATTGGTATGATAGAGGCTGAAGATGGTGCCTACATCAGAAGGTACTGGTTAAGAACTCCAATATATTGGGCTGCGTCGTGCAACCGGTTCAGTATCAGCATGGGGAACTGTGCTAACAACAAGGTGGAGAATGCTCACAGGCAGCTGAAAATGTATTTGCGTAAGGGGGATCCACTGGAAATGACGCTATAGAAAATATGGAGTTGGGTTGACCACACAATCATATGTAAATTACCAGAGGGTCAGTGGGTGCTTAGCAGATATTACAATTACGATGTAAGTTTTAAGACAATTTATGATTTATCCTAGGTGCATGGATTGCTGCGGCTTGTACTACGGCTCATCACACCTCTTACTGCGAAGAAAGTAGTCTTAAACTTGCGAAGGCTTATATTCTACTTCCGTCCAATATCCCCGACGTCAGTTAATTACACAGAAGGTACTCACACCTTCTTCATAAATAGGAATGAAGCCAAATGTTCATGTTGGACATACCACGCATATAATTTGCCATGTGTACATTTTGTTGTGACTTTCTTGGATCCATATCTAAACTGTGGTATGCTCCCTTTCCTTAAGTGTTACTTTAGATGTTCTGAGAAATAGCGAGAGGTGGACACGCCAATATAACACCACGGACAACAGTCTGTGTGTTGCCTGCTTAACACCATAATCAAGCATCGTATTTCGGAATGCTTATGAGTGGTTAAGAAGCTGCCTTGTCAGCCTAAACCAACGAAACCGCGATGCTGCCCTGCAAAAAATACAAAAGCACACCAGAAGGTCGTACAGTTTATTATTAAATGAACCAGGGACAATATTACGGTTACGACATGCCCCTGTGAATCGTTTATTTTTGCGAAGATGTTAGTGCTATTTTATTGTTTCTGCATGTATTCATAACATAAACATGTACGCCCATACTGTTGTTACACTTCATTTCTACTCCCACGCCTAAGAGTTTTATCAGCCGGATGTTAGCCGTTCCTAGCACATCCTGGAAAACCATGATTAATAGGATCCGTCACTTATACGGTCCCAACGCCTAAAGGGTTAAATAGACTGCAATTACATTTCATTTTGTGCTATGAACAATTATCTATCTTAGCCTAGTATACGCGAAGTAGCTCAATGATTGCAGGCTTACAATAAACGTTAACTATTAACTTGATAACTGTAAAGTTCAGACTAAAAACAAGATTACAGTAGAATTCAGTGACAGAAACTGACCTCGACATGTTAAAATATGCGAGATGTCGAAAAACCTGTAAGTTTCGGTAACAAACGAATTCACGAAAATATATAATCGGTCGGCGCAGAAACCCATCATAACCTTGAGTCTGGGCATACCTCCTTTCATGACTTTGCTGGTGTTGGAATTTAAATGTTGCGGTCGACAGCTGCTTAAGTAAACAAGAGGACGGTAGTCACACTGTGCTGTGGTTATGTATTCCGGTGTTTTATCGGTATCGCATAAACATATATCCTTGGTCGTGCTGAAGTGTAACGCCCTTCCCTCGAAAGTCCGGTGGTATTTTAAGCAACCGGGCCAATAGCCCAGGAGGGGAATGGCCTTCAAGTGGAAACAGACTTGTTGGTTAAGTTTAGAAAGCTTGAAGCCTATGAAGGCAATACACAAATGTTTGTGATAAGACGTATGGCGGAGAGCTTAGACTGTATTTAGCGAAAAAATAACTTACTCGTTTATTCCATGACTCAGTTATCAAACATGAGTAATTCGAGGCAGTTATAAAGTGCATAGTTCTAATAGGCGCATCACAAGCAAATACGGGGGTGAATGTATTTGATGGAAGAATAATACTTGGCCTAAAACTTTTTACACCACTCCAGCAGGCACTAAAACTGGTCCCTGATGTACTTTTTCTGCCTTAAGAATCGTGGCACCATTTCCTTGGACTTTCCGTACACAATTATCCCAACTGATAGCAGCCAAAGAGCATCGGTTACGAGGATTCGGGGCTGAGCCGAAGACATGATACTGTATCACCGGGAACAGACTGAACTTCAAAGTCTTCTAAAAATTATGCATACTATGTCTGTAACAAATTTAACCAAACAACACGTACCTTGTGTGCAAGGGAGTGAAATCATAAGTCGCATCCAATGCAGATATCAGGCCTTCATTGTGTTATCAATAGAAAGTTGTCGTTCATCCAGACTATTTCTGTAGATGACATTACCCTCCAACTATCCCATCTCGCTCATTTTAGCGATATTTCAATGCAGCCCGACTGAAACACTAATCACTGCAACCAATATGCTAAGAGTGTGCCGGAGTCAGATCACATGGTACGTCCACCAACACGATTAGTAAGAAAATGAGAATTCCCCTCAATCCAGAAAACATATAGCACAAATTTACTTAAGATTGTTCATAAAATAAGTTTGCTAATCGAAATTTCAACCAGCTTGACGGATAACTCCAGCCTTCATCCACGCTATTTGACTTCGAGGATTTTGTTAAGTTAAATATTTAATTATTAGTCCCATAGTTACCATAGTCATGCGGAATTTCGGCAGTGGGTAATAAAATTATTCCAGAGACACGCGAAGGAAAACTGTAAGCACCAAAACGAAGCAACGAGTAAATGACTTTGAGGGAGTCAGCCACATGGAAAAGGCGATTTTTACTTGCTGTAAGTAGTTTGTTAGACACGAGGAGTTTCTCCAGAAGCCATACTATTCCCCCAGACATGCCAAAAAACTTTCTTGATGATTCTTTCCAGTATTTTGGTCAAAATGCTGGTGAGACCGATGGGCCTGCAGTCTGAATGACAGCGTTGTGATCCTCCATTTTGGATGGTTGTTACCACCGTTTGTTCCTAGTCAGGGGGTTACACTGCACCCGAGAGTGATAGCTTGAAGACTATGGTTAGCTGGCCGTCTATGTAAACTTATAGACCACTGAGAAGTTTTGTATGAAGGTCATAGGGTCCAACTTACCTCCCGGCCTCTACTTTATTTAGAGGATCGAATAAGATGTTTCGGTCGGTTTCGATGGAGTCTGTCCTTATAGCGACCAGTTTTGTTGCTATATGGAGTGACGCCTCCTATGTGAAGACTTTGGAGAGGAAGTTTGCCATTACCTTGGCACTTTCCTGATTCTCTTCATCTGCGCTGTCATCAACAGTCACGTTTTGGACCTTCTTGAGATCAGTGCGACTCTGTGAGATCGGGCTTTTGGCCGGTCGTGTTCAAGTTATGAATAGTTACACCAGTTACAAATGTTGATGGTAGCTTGTCTAAGATTGATGCCTGATGTTGATCTAGTTAGATAACAGAAAAATACTTCACATCAAATAAATGGGAAAGGACTTACATGATCAACATGTCAGTTCCACAGAAGTGATAGAATTTGATTAATTCTAAATATTCAGTTGCCTAAGTGTGCTGTTTTATTTCTTTGTAAAATGTATTATCGAACACAGAATATACCGCGATTAACTGTTGTATTTACGCAAGTATACAATGAGAGTAAATTCGACGTCGATACCACTGGTTAACTTTAATCGACGGAAAAATCTCACACTTAAACCTTTGAGTACAACGAAACAATATGTTAGGATTAAATTCATGCTAGAGAATGATTTTACCCATTAACCAAAGAAATTATTGTTATAGCAGGAGCATTTAGCTTGAGGAGACCAGTTTTCACACACTAGTGAGACTGTTTATTTTGATTCCTTTCCTTCTTTACAGGATATCTCCTCATGGAGACTCATACTTTTTGCTGGGGTGAAGAATTAGCACCAAGATCATGAAGAATTGTCATACTCATAATGTTGAAGAATTTCCAAGGTACTTAATCTATTTCTCAATCAATAGAATTAGCCAGTACGCTTCAAGATTTTTCAGCTGTGACAGTAGAACATGGTAATCGTCGCAAGCGGAATTCATATTTGGGAAAATAACGAATATTTATTTCATTCCGCTGCCTTCCGAGTGGAAAATATGACTTGAAGCTAGAGCTTTGAAGTTTCCGGAGCAATCTTTATATTCTTACGGGCTGCGGTGGCCAAAATTTACCCCGAGCTTCCCTCTTTGATTGGCTAACTACAGGCTTATCAAGGTTTAGGAGTGCGTAAAATAGTGGTGGTGATATCAGTTAGGTACACTTTACCACACCCTACTTAATGCAATTTGCCTATGTACCCACTGATTCAGCAGTCTACCTAACCTGCAAGTACTAATGACAAAACGGAAATTAAAAGGTCTTGGTTTATCCAGGAAAAGTGATCAGGTGCGGCATATATTTCAGTTAAATAAAAGATGAAGACTATTCGAGGACCAAGGTGTAAAACTTGTCTATCCGTCAGAGTTTTACTACATATTTAAGGAATGTGTGCAGAAACTGCACAACGGAAAAGTGCAAAGTGATGTTGGCGCCAGTTCGCGTAAATCCAATCTACATTGTGATGTTCACTGAGTACCAACGGGTGAAAAGGCTAACTCCATTACCATAGAAACACGGTCTTAACACACCAAGTACTACAGAATACATATGATTAATTCCAGCGCCACTTCTTGTAGAGCTAACCAAAACTACGACATTCGAGTAGCGGGATGACCTAGAATTTTATAGAAAACCAAGAATCTTTGCCTCACAACTAAGAAGCGAGTACCAGGATATCAAATCGGTTCACACTATTTCGTAAAGGGGATATTGGACATTTTGTACTAGACTTCTTCGTGCGGCATTTTCAGTTATTTTCTCTGCATGGCTTCCAATTGTAGTTCTGCCGGGGAAGTTCACCCCAATAAATTGGTTGTTAAAGTATGGGAAACTTTCGCAAACGCTGCATCTAGTCTTTGCCAGTTATACAAGGGAAAAATAGATCGTTGTACTGATCTTCAGAGCTTATTGGAAACACTATCGTCAATAGAAAGGTTTTACCAAGGTGTGAATTTCACCAAATATTAATTGTTTGGGTCGATAGTTGAGTAGATGCATCACTGTTAGTTGTAGTCCTTGAACTTTTTGAGTTCTGAAGAACTACAGACTTTTCCTTTGGGATGAATTGAGTATAACTATTAGGGTATGTTAAGTAAGAAGATCAGGAACCTATACCTCACAATCAAGAGGCGAGCACAAAGAAATCAAATTGGTTTATACTAGCTTGTAAAAACGATATTGGATTTTGGAAGTAATATCACTGACAGGAATCAAAATCTGCATGTGTCAGTAACGGTCCACCAAAACAACTCAGTCATCACAGTGTGTGTTAGCTTGGAAGGGCGTTGATTGTTATGTGCGTGTAAGCGAAGTGTGTCCCTAAAGGTCACTCATCTTAGACACAAGCGTCCTACATAACAGAGCCTTTGTATTTTTTATCAGTGGGTATCTGTCAGGTAGATACTTCTCTTTGCGGGCTTCATATATGTATATATTGTATAGTAACTGGTGGGAGCATTAGTTATATCAGCTTTCAAGTCTGCAAATACATAGCTATGATACTAAAGTGTAGCAATACTGGCATAACATCCTAACAGTACACCTTGTTTCACCTAACACGGTTTGAGGTACCAGACAGAAATGCAGGAGTCAGGTGTCCGTGCTGTGATATTGCCGATGTATTTGCCTTATTTGACACTTGTATAATTTTATGTAGTTTATATTTATTGCATTTATATTTATACTCTCAGGTTGTATGTAAACACTTTTCTTTAATGGTGATGAAAATGTAGGCTTGAGTTCTCTGTTCAGTTGGTCGTTATTCGTCTGATTTAGGACTAGATTCAGATAATAAGGATAGAAAGCCCTTGTTGCTTATGTTAATCCTTGCAATCTGTATCTCTTCAGAGATCTAATTTCTCACCAATCAAACTGATACTACTGAACCTGGTACGGAGTTCCAGTCGTTGACCAATCTGTAAATAAATGTTAAATTCACATATATTTTATTCGACCCCGGTTTGGTCACCTTTGTGTGGCTTATAATTGCATCTTTTTAGTCCTTGAGTGGCCTAGCCTGAGTCAGTGATAATTTAACAATCTCCGTAAGTGGAATGAATATTAAATCCGCCAAGGAGACTAACAGTATTGTGGACTCTGTCACACCCTGGTAATTTGCCTGGCATCAGATTAGACAGTAGTTTGAGAACCACTGCGTCCTCTATCACAATTAAGGGCACTATAGTGGCGATGCTAGTGACCTAGCTATACCCCTTGGTAGTGCAATTAGACGAAAAGACATCTCAAAATCAATCCGAAATCTTTTTTCAGCTTTTGTTTCGTCTGACTCAGCCGCCTCTCCAGTGCTGAGTGACGGTATTCTTTTGGGATAATGTACACAATTCAGTACTAACTTTCTGTCATACTGTATACGACTTTTGTCAATCATATACAAAGGTTTCGGATTTTGTGGTAGTGCATCCGAAACTCCTTCCTCTCTGTTACGGCAAACCAGTCCCATAAATTCTTTCTCTGTCTTAACCTTATTTCATTACTAAAGCAAGGAGGTTTATGCGAGGCGTAGACCAAGGTACAAAAGGTGCAGTGACACAATCTAGTGTATGCCTAAATCCCACACAAGCTTCCTCGACAGTCCGATTTGTATCAAGTGACCAGTCAGCTAGGGTTATTGCTTTTCCGATTGCAGGTATGTTCGCTTTCCAATTGCTTGCACGAGCAGCTGTATGACAGCGTGAATCCTACGCGTAAAAGTGACAGTTATATAGTCACTGTTACCTAGTGGCGGAAGGCACCTGATATCACCGACATCCTCCATACCAAGTCTACAGTAGACGGATCATGTTCAGGGTGGTGTGTTGGTGCATGCATATTCTGCACAAGTAGACGTTCAAGCTATGGATTATCTTTTTGGTGAGTGCATACCATTCGTTCAAGTTGCATTGTATCAGTTCTGAGTAGCATTCAGCACTATGCGAGATACATTGTTTCACATAATTGGCGCTGATATAAAAAGTGATATTGACTCCTAGGTACATACCACTCCTAACTTTACATACAAATCTGTACTTGATTGCTGAGTTGCCTACACAAACATTTATTTTAACGACAATAAGACGTAGTGTGACTGACTTCCATTGCATTAGGTTTTCTCAACACGATTTGTGAAGTCATTTTTACTGTACTTTCCCGATATCCATGCTTTCTTTGTCCTATTTTATTCACATTGATTTAGCTTCTCAAAAGTCTTTAGAAGCCTCACTAAGCCATGGAAAAAGTGTCGGATCAAAATATCTACGCCTTCATTTGCGAGATTTGGCCTACCGAAATGTCCAAACTGCTGTAGCGCACAATGGATTGGAGGTTTATGTGCCTCTAGAGTCACTTTTAATTAGAAACCAAGAAAGATACCATGGTACAAGCAATCTACCGAGAAAGCGTCCGAATCACTGTGCTTATTGTCCGCGTAGATCGAAGCGCATCGCCCTACATCATTGTGACCATCGGCGTTCCCAGTGCAGACGCTCCAAGAAAAAAGCATCACTATTTCCAGTTAGCAGTACAATCTCAACGGATAAATGCTTGTATAATGTGGTTGAAGATCTGAGTGGCGACGATACAGTGGGACACGAAGGTGATATAATAGGTTCTATCAATTGTAATTCAGAAGGTGAGTACCATCATCAGTACATTAATGTTTACTACATGTATTTCATACCTTGTATATTTCCTGAACGGGGTATTCTCAATGTTTAATGCCAAATAACATTTCCAGGCACACCGTAGATTTTTGTAAACACATTTTTATGGTTTTAACGCTTTCTTTGGATAAAAAAGCTAAGACTGGTGGGTTCTTAATACTAGTTTATCAGTGGATATTAAGAATTTGGATAGTATTAACAGTAAAAATTCCAAAATTTGTTACGTTGCGTTTATTATTTTCAGTGTATGACGCAGATGATAAGTGAAACAATATCTGAGAAAATTGGCACCATAATTAGCTCCCGAGATAGACAACTAGAACGTTGGAAAGAACACTTTAAGGAGCAATTCAACTGGCCTTCAGTCACACTCAACTTACCGAACATCCAGCATCTTTCTAAATAGGACATAGACACAGGTCCTCCGTCCCTAACTGGGGTTACCCAGGTTGTCACTAGTCTGAAACGAGGCAAAGCTACGGGACCCGAAGGAATGACTCCGGAGTTATTTAAGTACGGTGGAGACAGTTTAGTGTCTGCCTTAACTAAGGTATTAGGAAACGTCTGGGAATCAGAAAAAGTCCCGTCGGGTTGGTGTAAGTCATTGATTATCCCGATATAGAAGAAGGGAGACAAGTCCTCCTGTGATAATCACAGGGGGATTAGCTTGACTAATATGGTATCTAAATTTCTAGGCTCAATAATCATGCGTAGACTAAGTTGTGCTCGGGAGGAACAAACACGAGAGAACCAGATAAGCTTTAGACCAGGAAGAGGATGTATTGATCATATCTTCACTCTTCGACAGATTGTGGAACATAGGCACACTTACCGGCTTCCAACAGTCGTTATGTTTCTTGACCTGAAAGTGGCATTCGATTCTGTCGACTGAGAGGTACAATGGCGATGTTTGGTTGTAATGGGAATGCCGAGAAAATACATTGCACTGATCAAGTCACTCTACTCTACTCGAATTGATGCAGTCAGTTTTGTTCCCCGTTATTACTATTCCTTTGTCTCACACCTCTGTTTACTGACTATATTATGCATTTCTTCTACTTTCTTCTCTTGCTTTGTGTGCTACATGGAGTGTGGCGATTTGAACTGCCGCACATATGTGCAAAGTTCTATGTCGAAAACCGACCGACCAACCGAATTGATGCAGTCAACCAGGTGAGAGCTTACGGCGAGTTGTCATGTGAAGTGATGACAACTAGTGGTGTCCGTCAGGGATGCCCACTATCCCCATTTCTATTCAATTTCATCGTAGATGCACTAGTGAACTTAACCCTAACTGACTTCAGCAACTCAGGGATTGACTTGTTACCGTTAGGGCATAATCTCGTTGACTTAGAATATGCAGATGATATAGTCTTGCTTCTAGGTGAAGACGCTGACAAATGCAGAATCTTGGGAATACCTTGAGGCGCTGCAATCTTTGAATGCTTGGCATGCGATTCTCTCCTGTCAAATGTAAGATGATGTTAAAGGACTAGACTATGTTGACTCCTAGTTTAGAAATAGGGAGTGAAGTGGTTGATGGAGCACGTTGACCACCTTACTTATTTGGGAAGTTGCATCAGCCCCAATGGGATGATTGCTGACGAAATCTCAGAACGGATACAGAAGGCTCGTTTGGCATACGCCTGCCAGTTTACACCGTCTCTGGCGTAGACGACCAGAGGGCGTGTGTACTGCCCAGCAGTCCGTTCCGTCCTTCTTAACGGCTGTGAGACTCGGCCATTGAAAGTGGAAGATATGAAGAAACTAGCTAGCTGTCTTTGATCATAAGTGCCTGCGTTCTATCTCTCGTGTGAAGTGGTATAATAAGGTGAGCAATATTGAGGTTAGGCGTCGAGTGCTAGGTTAGGCGGGGAAATCAATCGACGAAACTGTGAAATTACTTCGACTGAGATGGTTAGGACATGTGCTACGTATGCCTAGCCAATGCCTTCCTTGACCGACGGGCAATGTTAGCTGACATAGGTTCAGGTTGGAAAAGAGTTAGCTAGTAGTGGTCAAACCGAAACATGGTGTCATCAGTCAATGCAGTCCACAGCAGTTAGTTTAAGCCATGTAGGAAGATGTAGACTTCCTGGTTGGGGTCCTTGGGATGGTAAAAACCAATGACTGGAGACAATTGGTTATATGGCTCAAAATAGTTCTCAATGGCTGGCGCAGATGCATCCACTCCTTGTGACTTATAATACCCAGTGAAACTACATTGTTCTTCGTTATTACTTTTGTTTTTGTCTTTCATCTCTGTTAACTGTCTCTATTTCGCATTTCTTCTACTTTCTTCTCTTGCTTTGTGTGCTACATGGTATGTGGCGAGTTGAACTGCTGCACATCGGTGCAAAGTTCTTTGTCAGAAACAGACAGACACGTAGTGTATGGCGCTTCGCTTTAATTGCTTTTAATAGACTTTCGATAAGTACAAAAGAACGTAATTAAGATATACTTCCTCAAGACCATAGTTGCTGGATTTGAGAGGAAACGAACCAGTGGAAAGCATAAGCGTTTCAGTCCCCAGTAAAGAGTCATTAGTCCTGAAATTAACTCTATTCCATTTCGAAGTTATCAATAAAATTGCAGTCACTGTGTCTGTTTGTTGGCAGATGGAATTCAGTTATGTTGGTCAAGAAATGTTATAACATAGCTGTATTATTAATTGTGTGGTCCATCTCTCGATTTCCGTATACTAGCAAGTTAGACTTCGGAGTTATGAGTATCCTGAATGAATTGCTAAGAAATAATATACCACTGAGAGTATTGCTTTCGAATTGTCATAGTTGTATGAGGACTTATGAAGTGTTAACTTATGTCATATTAGGAAATAATATATCCATCTGTTATTTTTGATATTCCTTACCTAATTTGGTATCAGAAATGATGCTACACAACTCTGATTTCCTCTAACCTGTTAAGATTTGATCTTATGTGGCGGGAATAACGTATTAAATAGTGTAACGTCATAAGAATGTTACACCAATATCTTATTTTTACGTAGTTTATCAGTGTTTTTATGGTTTGATGTTGGAAAAATCGGATGGTACATTCTGCGGTGTAAATATAATTTTAGATTTTTTCTTCAGAAATGACTCTTCGATGTTATTCGATTGGTAGGACTTAGCAACAAAAACCAGGACGTGTATTTGGTCCCATCAAAGATTCTTTGCGTGGGGCTGATATTGCCAACAAAAGTTGGACATTTTGGACTAGTGAATGAAAGCAGAAAATGGGGGATCCCCAAATTCTACTAGACGCCTCTTTCGTTCAAAAAAAACTTCCTTTTTCGTAAACTAATGGTGTACGCTTAATTCTCAAGTAGTAAATCGAAGGTCTCATTCCAGTTGACGAATTTGGGTTTCAGTACAAAGGGAATGCCATTGAACGAAGAACATAAAAAATTATCGTAGATACCTCAACGCATTTTTGTTGAAATAAACAAAAGTCGCATCGGAACTGGATGCTGCCGACTAACTACAAAAGTTACAAAAGTTAACCGGCATGGAAAAAGACGTTTTATTACTTCTACTTTTCAGTGAAGATTAAAAGAATGTTGGACAAAACACTTTGAAAAGCATTTCGGGTGCACTACAGTTGCCTGCCGTACAATTCTGGTTTGAATGAGACATGGGCACCTGCTTTCCCAACTGTAGCTGACGTTATCGAAGCTCTTTCTGAACTAAAATGAAGTCACTTGTCAGAGCTTGTTAGTTTGACAGCGGAATTGTTTAAAGACATCGGTGATGAATTTTCGGGTAGAGTAACCAAGGTACTAGTTAGTTTATGGGAATGCGAAATAACTGCATCAGAATGATGTTAATTTTTTTGTAAAAAGGAAAAATCCTGTAATTACAGAGGTATCAGCTTGGCTACTACAGTATCTAAGGTCCTGGTCCTCATATTAACATAATAGGGCTAAATCAGGCATTAAAGAAACAAACTCAAAAAACCAGACAGGTTTCTAGGTGAAGCTAATGTACCGAATACTGACAGATTCTAAGACTCAGACATACCCAGTATCTGACTACTTCCATATATCTTGATCGGAATCCAAATTTTTCCCTCAATCTGCAGGTGCTATGGCGATGTCTGGTCGTGAAGCTTATACCGAGAGAGTTCACTTCTCTGATTGAGGCACTAGTCTACTCTTGCAAGTGACAAAAACCATCGATGTAAGTCAGGAAAGCTCAACGTCACTAGTTCTACTTCGTTTTCGACGTATTGATGAGTGCATTGACGAAGTATCAGGAAAAGAACTCACTGGTTAGGAACACTTAAACGTTGTCTAGGTAAAGACTTTGACACAATGCAGTCTTCCAAGTACTCTAAACAAAAGTGTGACTATGTCTGGCATGTCATTTGCCAGTTATCTGAAATTTATTGCTTCAAGGCTTACCTACACCAACTCACAAATAAAGGATAGAGATTGGAATGGTAGAATGTATCGAGTTACATCAGTCTAAACAGACTGATTGCTGCTAAAATTTCAACTGTTACAAAAGACTTGTTTTTCATTCACTAGCTCGCGTTATTACTGTTAAACAAGTTTTGTTTTCTAATTTTCTGAATGGAGATTTTCGCTATATATGGTAGTTAATGTCATATAGACTACCCATTTATTTACATTATACTGGGAAAAGCGATCGTCGGAAATCTTTATGAAGCAGTATACTGTTTTCATAAGATTTGTACGACTGCTGTCTTTCTATGGACCGTCAGTAAAATAGAACTTATAGTTATGTGTAGTACTTCTAGTTATATAAGATCTACCACCTGGTAAAATACTTGAAATATCTTACCACCCATTATAGAGTTATGCAAACAATTCGGTTTGTAAGTTTGAAATATGCAGTAATAGTTAACCAGCCCACTAACACAACGAATGTATTAGTACAGAGTCAAAGATGAATGTCGGTTAGAAAAATAATCGTGTACCACGTATTTTCTTCTTTAGCCTTCACTCCTACTATGGGTTCGCTTCCCAATCATCCTGCTGTTTCAAAATTAGTTCTCGATGGGTTGAGTCAAGGGAGAAAACGTCGTCATTTATTTCCACCTAGTTATCAAACAGGCAGTTGTAACCACAATGGAAACAATTACAACGAATCGATTGATCATGATCCCTTCGATGACTTCCAAGATGCTGTGCAAGTTATAAGTATGTTTTTTCATTATCCTTAGTAATAATTGTATATATTTTCAAGTTTTAGTGTGTAGGGACTTGATTGATCTCAAATGTGATCACAAACTTGTATCATTTAGAGAACCATTGAAAACTAATTGATACTGGGCTTCAGTACGCACCCATGACCCCACTAGGATCATAGTTCTCAAAAACTATGCATGCATTAACATGTTAGTCCACAATGGGAAATTACAGCTATTATCTCGTTGGGTTCTGAGTGAGATATTTGACTTCAGCAACACACCGTTTCATTCTTTTCTATGTGGTTCTTTTTGGCTGGCTCCGAAATTGCTCTCAAGATTTCATTCCCTCATGCGATCTTGTCCATGTCACCCATAGACGTTTCCCGTTCGGGTTCCACTTGAGTACCTGGTGCGCGATGTCACTCAACAGTCTCCTGAACATATGTTCAGTCCGTCTCCATTTGCTTCGGCATATCTACTGGGCTATAGGGTCTCGGTCGGTCCGGCCTCAGTTTTACTTGTTACTAATCCTTTCCAGCCAACTGATTCTCATTATATGAAGGGAAGAAAACTGCTAACGAAAAGTCGCAGTGACCCGTTGGGAATGCTTGTGGATGGCTACACAATTTTCTGAACCATATAAAGACACTGAATTGACAAAAGTGTCGGCAATCCCTATCTTGCTTCTTATTCAAAATGCAGAAGAATTTCCAAAACTATTTTGGGTAAATAAATGTCTGTTTTGCCTTTCCCATTCTGGCTTTGATATCCCCAACCATTTCGCCTGTAGCTCAAACAATCCTGTATCTATGTAAGCTAGACAGGTAACTACTTTCCTATGTATTCCGTAGACGATGATTAGTACTAGTTGTTGTCTTCTCTGCTTCTACCAACTTGTTGGTTTTCGTCTGTAGATCTTCATGTTTTTGTAGCGTTAGATATAAATCATCCGTGATGATCGAATCTCCTAAAGCCTTTTTCTCCGTCCAACGTATTCATCTCCTGTCATTTCCTACGTTCTGCCAGAGAATTCAGTCCAACACAATCAGTTGTGAACATAGGTTCAACACATGGATAAGTTATCACTATCGTGAGGTATCTTTGTGGTTCTGTAGGACGACGTTAGGACATGCGGGTTAAGAAGAATGAGACAAGGGATTTGCGTAAGAAACTGATATTCATTACATTATGGTTTAAACCTGCGTTGATGTGTGAAAGAGATTGTGAATAATAAAGTTGTTGTCTCAGTTAAATGTGTCTTTGTGTGTGTGGAATACTTCCAAGTGATCAGTTAGCTACAGTGTTTTGACTGGAGGCTCATTCTAGTCAAGTGAGATAACAATCAACAAAACACTAACCCTCAGTTACAACACCATAGCGATTTGCTTTGGCGCTAAACTCATATTTTTATCAACCAACTCATCTGGATAACTACTTTACTGAGTAATTCTGTGATAATCTTAAGCTCCTCATTAAGAGAGAGTTGTTTGAGTGGATTACTACAGATCTATGAACCAAACACTACTAAGTTGAGTGTATATTGCAAAAGTACACCATTTGAAAAATAAGTATGCCATCGTTTCAGTTTTTCTGTATGGACTCCTTCTTAATGTACCATACTCTTTCGTTCTCTACGGTAAGGTTTATTGCTGAATGAACATCATTGATCGTATCAAGGATGTTCTGCGCTTCATTTTCATTTTTCATTATCAAAAAATGTATCATCCATATGCTGACAATAGAAATCCCATTCGCTAATTACTCCTTTCAGTGGTTTATTCTCTAACTTGACGATGAAGAACTCAGCTAGGATTCCTCTCTGGAGGATACAGGAATATATGTATAAAACTTGAGCAGTGTGTTAGTATGTAATTCCATATTAATTTGTTTGTTAGATATATCACACAGTAAAACCGTATTATTTACTGAATGACGTTTCAAACACGATTTATTGTTCATGATCATATTAATTATAACTACACAACTTTGAAACTTTCGTTTTATAGTTTTCTTTACTCCTTCCTATTCGTAGTATGGGTAGTAGAATTTCCCGGATTTCCGGGGCAACTGTTGAATAATTCCTATTGCACGTATTTTCAGTTGATTCGATAAATAAAGCTTCCGTTATCAATCTCTCCCTCCACCCTGTTATGTAAGATTTTAGAGCTGACATCTTATCCTACCTTATTGTATGGTTGTTTGTTATTGCATGTAGTGCTATAGCTGAACTATTCTCCAGATTTCTTATCTTATTATTATTGTTTACTATTGTTTCATTTTGTTCCTAGAGGAACATAGGGCTTCATCCGCACGTCTCCATTGCGTTCGGTTCTGTGTCAACGTTTTCAGCTGGCTCCACATCTGCCTACATGCTTTCATCTCCTCCTCACCTGACCTCCTCCATGTCATCCTCACACTAACAACCAACTCGCCGCTTCCCGTTCAGGTTGCACTCGTGAGAGGGCCTGTCGTGTGATGTCGCTTGATGGTTTTCTCAGAGTATGGCCAATCCCCCTCTGGTTCCTTCTGCATATTTGTTGCACAATCGGTTCCTGCTGGGTTGGTTCGCTCACTGCCAGAGATCCCACCCTGTTGCTGATCTTTTCTGGCCGGCCATCTGATCTTGAGTATTGATCGGAGACAGCTGTTGATGAAAGTCTGTAGTTTGTTCGAAGTGCCGTTCGTGACGCGCCAAGTGTCTGATCCGTACAGTAGCACTGACTTCACAGTGGAGTTGAAAATCCGGGTCTTGTTTTTCATGCTGAGTGCTGTTGACCTCCACACAGACTTGAGAGAAATGAAAGTTTGCCTTGCTTTCCCGATCCTCGCTTTGATATCCTCGTCAGTTGCGCCTGTAGTTGGAACGATGCTTCCCAGGTAGGTAAAGAAGATTGCTTCTTTCAGATTTCTCTCTTTTATGCTGATTGTTGTCTATTGTTGTTACTGTTGGCCGGTAATCTGCATCACTTCTATTTTCTCTATGTTGACCTGAAGTCCTATGTTTGATGCTTCTTCTACCAATTTGTTGCTTTTCACTTGCATATCTTCCAGTTTGTGGGAAATCAGACATATATATATATATATATCATCGGCGAAATCCAGATCCTCGAAGTTTTTTGTATGGGTTCATTTTATACCTGTCCCCTCGTTGCCCGCCGCTGTCTGTTGCATTCTCCAGTCTACCGCAATCATGAAAATCATTGGAGATAGTAGGCAGCCAGCTTGTCTTACTCCCGTCTTCATTTCGAAGGATTCCGTGAGTTTCCCGTTGTGGATTACTCGGCATGCAGCGTTGTCGTACAACTGTTGGATGAGATGTATAATTGTTGGCGGCACCCCATAGTAGCGAAGTAGTTGCGAAATCACCTCTCGATCAACGCTGTCGAATGCCTTTTCAAAGTCAATGAAGTTGAGGTAGAGAGCTGACTGCCATTCCAAGCTCCGTTCAATGATGACCCGTAGTGTTGTGATTTGACCAATGCATGACTTGTTTCTCCTGAATCCAGACTGTTCCGGTAGAAGTTGTCATCCAGGGCTTGTTTGATTCTCTCCAGGATGATGCGGCTTAGTATTTTGCTTGGAATGGACAGGGGCATAATGTAGCGCCAGTTCTTGCATTGACTTAAGTCTCCTTTCTTTGGTAGTTTGAATAAGTAGCTTTTCTTCTAATCCGCAGGTACCTTGCCCTCTTTCTACACCTTCTTCAGTAGTGGTGTCATGAAGTCCGCTGATGTGTCGGGGTCCATTTTCATTGCCTCTGCTGGGATTCCGTCTGGTCCTGCTGCTTTTCCAGTTTTTTTTAGCATCCTTATTGCCTTCAGGGTTTCTGTTTTCGTCGGAGGGTTGATGTCCGCTAGTATTTCTGCTTACGCTGTACGTATTATTGGGTTCGTTGTAGGTGGCGGTCGATTTAGAAGTCTTTTGGAATGTTCAGCCCAGTGTTTCCTTTGCTCCACCTCTTTATTGATTGACTTTCCATCGTCATCCTTCACTGGCTTAATTTGTGTTGATCTCTTCCCCGATAGGAACCTAGTTGATTGGTAGAGTGTTGCGAGGTCTCCTTTGCCTGCAGCTTGTTCTACTTCACTTGCCATAGTTTCATAATATTTTCTTTTTTCTTCCCTGGCACTTTTCTTTACTCTTTTGTTCAGTACATTATAGCTCGCATTCAACTCCTGTTTTTTTGCTCGTCGATGCACTAGATAATCTTTTGTTTCACCATCCTTATCTCTTCTATCAGTCTTCATGTGTCCGTAGTGAGCCACTGTTTGTGGTTTATCTGCAGCTTCTGTTTCTTTGAAAAGTTTTTAATTTGATTTGGAGTGTTCCTTGTACGAGATAGTGGTCTGAGCCAACGTCTGCTCCTCTTCTTACCTTTGTATGCAGCAAGCTGCATCTCCACTTCCTTGAGATTGAGATGAAGTCAATTTAGTTTTTGGTTCGCCCGTCTGGCGACACCCATGTAGCTTTGTGGATATCCCTGTGCTTGTATACGCTGCCATCAAACACTAGTTCATTGAAGGCGCAGAAGTCAGCGAAGAGTTCTCCATTTTAGTGCTAGTTGTTGTCTTCTCTGCTTCTACCAACTTGTTGGTTTTCGTCTGTAGATCTTCATGTTTTTGTAGCGTTAGATATAAATCATCCGTGATGATCGAATCTCCTAAAGCCTTTTTCTCCGTCCAACGTATTCCTATCCTGTCATTTCCTACGTTCTGCCAGAGAATTCAGTCCAACACAATCAGTTGTGAACATAGCTTCAACACATGGATAAGTTATCACTATCGTGAGGTATCTTTGTGGTTCTGTAGGACGACGTTAGGACATGCGGGTTAAGAAGAATGAGACAAGGGATTTGCGTAAGAAACTGATATTCATTACATTATGGTTTAAACCTGCGTTGATGTGTGAAAGAGATTGTGAATAATAAAGTTGTTGTCTCAGTTAAATGTGTCTTTGTGTGTGTGGAATACTTCCAAGTGATCAGTTAGCTACAGTGTTTTGACTGGAGGC